CTGGAGCTGGAGCTGGAGCCGGAGCCGGAGCAGCCCCGGCGGCCTTGTAAACACGTCGCGCACAATAAAACGCATCAGCGGCGCGCCAGAGATTTAATTAAGATACACCGCCTCTCTAATGCGTTTATGATTCTGGTCTTTCCATAACTCACGCCACCTCTTCTCTGTCTCTCTCCCTCACCAGGTACTACTCGTGCTCGCCGCAGCGGCGCTGGCGGCCGAGGGCCGCCCCGGCCTCCTCGGCGGGGTCGCCGACGACGACGTCCCGGAGGCCGGCGGCGCCTTCGGCGTGGAGGAGTACCCCGCCGCGCCCTACCCGTTCGCGCCCGAGGCCCTGGAGCCGACGATGCCGGTAGAGGACGCCGACGAGGGCGTCGTGCCGCTGCCCCCGCGGGTCGTCGCCAAGCGCTCCACCACCGTGTTCCGGCCGCTGTTCGCCACCCGGGAGCGCGACGCGGAGCGGCTGGAGGCCCGCGACCGCCGGCGCGACTACTGGGCGCGCGAGGAGCAGCGGCGGCGCAGCGCGGTGGCGGCGCGGCCAGTCTACAGGCAGTACCCGGCGCAGTACCGGCCCTACCCCGCCGGGCGGTAGGCCGAACCGCCCCTACAGACGACGGCGACAGCGAGGGTGAGCACCTCCCCGAGGCTCTCTACTCCGCACCCCCGCCTCGCCCGTTGCACTCGCTGCTGCCCAGTCCTTCCGCAGTCACACCTATCACGCCTCACCTCACACCTCGACCACGTGGGCCCCATGTGCGCGGCGGCGGCCCTGTGAGTGAGCAAGTCGTCCGGAAGGACGCCGCCGCCGCCCCGGGTCCCGTCACCTCACACTGCGACTGGCCGGGCCGCCGGCCGGCGACTCGGCGGCGTTTGCCATTCGCTTAGTATTTTCGTCCCGGCCGCCGCGGCGACGCGCGGGACCTGCTAAGCGGGTGGCAGACCCGCGGCAGACGAGACGGACAGCCGCCGTATGGCCGGCCGGCCGCTCTCGGGCTAATTATTTGGCAGACATCGCGGAGGATTTCGAGACGTTGTGCAACAACAACAACTCGCCCTCCGGAGGCTGTGATGACAAGTTCCCACACCCACAAAACGCGTGGACACAAAAAGTGTACAAGTACTACTTTGGTCCAAGTACCAAGTTTTATCTATCTAACCCAGCGTAAGTGACACATGACTCGTGCAAAGAACTTTTACATGTATTGTATCCCTATTTATGCCTTAGTTTGTAATTTCGACTAGCTTTAATCTTTTGTATTATGAACAATAAATTGTTTGTGCCCCTACAATGACGCTGTGCTGTTTTCATCCACCCCCGGGCGGCATTGTTGTGCGGGTCGCCGCAGTCTGGCGGGCGCCGCTGGCCCACCGCGGCACAGTGTTGTTGTGTTCGGACGGCAGCGACTGCAGCGGCAGCCGTGGTGCTCGTCATGAGCCCCCCGAGGCACGAGAGAGAGGTCGGTCACGTGCGGTGGGGGCTAGGGCGGGGCAGGGTAGAGAGAGGGTTGGCGGCCGGGCGCGCCGCGGTCGGCGACGCGCTCGCTCGCAGTGGGGTCATGTGCTGCACCGCCACGCAAGGCGGGCGCGCGGGTTGCCTACCCGCACGGGGTCCGTGGTACGAAAGCACAGCCGCTGCCCGCGCACCTTGGAGGTGGGATATCGCACGGGGATGCCCTGGTGTTTTTTGGGCTGCATCTAGCTTGCTGATTACTGAGCAGGCGGGCAACGCCTCGGCACAGGAGTACGAATGTGGCCTAGTACGCAGGCGTAGATGTAGCCCACTTACTCACAGGTCTCTTT